CTGGACTCCAGGCCCCTCTAGTTCCCTGACTGGACTCCAGGCCCCTCAGGTTCCCTGACAAGAATCCAGGCCCCTCCAGTTCTCTGATTAGACACCAGAACCCTCCAGTTCCCTGACTGGACTCAAGGTCCTTTCAGTTCCCTGACTAAACTTCAGGCCTCTCCAGGTCTTGATTAGATTCCAGGCCCTTTCTAACTCCCTGACTAGAGTCAAGGCCCCTCTGGGCCTCTGACTAGACTCCAGACCCTTCTAGCTCCCTGACTGGACTCAAGGCCCCTCCAGTTCCATGACTAAAATTTAGGCCCCTACCAACTTCCTGACTAGACTCCAAGCCTCTCCAGTTCCCTGACTAGACTCCAGGCTCCTCCAGCCGCTTGGTTCACCTCAGGCAGGAGGTAACTCCTCTCCAACAGGTGGTGAGAATAGGTGGTTGTATTTTGCTGGTGGGGGCCAAGTAGAGCTCTACCTCTGCTGCTAGTGGTGGGCTAGTTCTGAGGCTGCGGCTTCAGGAAGATTCCACCTCAATGGGCAGATGCCTTGGAAGGTAGGCAGCTGGAGTTGAGAGATGCCACTCATCACCAGCAGTAGCATTCCTATGAGGGAATCTTTGTGGCTGCAGGATCTTCTTGCAACTCATAAAAGAGTAAACCACTCTGTGCCCCCAAGCCACAGTATTCCCATCTACCCCCAATAAACTTAGATGCCCTTGCCTAACAAGAGTCTATCTTCCCTATCTGTAAATAACCAATGACCCCACCATATATCGCCTTCTCAGACAGAGGGAGTTTCAAAATCGCACAACCTCATGGATAAAAATTCTCATCATCTCTGCTGTAAAAGAGCAATCCAAATTTTAAAACTGAGGCCTCTAGTTCTGGACTGACCCACAAGAGGAAATAACTTTTCCACGTTCCCCTTGTCAAATTCATTCTGAATCTTTAACCTCTCAAATCAACTCACACCCCATTCGTCCAAACTCCAGTGGAAACAAGCCCAGTCTGTCCAACTTTTCCCCATTAGACAACCTACTCATTCCATGAGATAGTAAGAACGCCGATGCTGGAGTCTGAGATAACACAGAGTGCAGCTGGAGGAACACAGCAGGCCAGGCAGAATCAGAGGAGCAGGAAAGCTGATGTTTCGGCTCGGGACCCTTCTTCAGAAATCCTCATTCAAGGTATCGATCCAGAAAACCTCCCCGAGCCACTTCCAATGGACAGCGAACTTTGTTTTAACCGGCGCCTTAATCAACCGGCACTCTTGATAAACCGGCAGAAAGTTGTGCCTCAATCCGCAGCGACGTCTGATTATTTATGCTTCAGGGATAGCAGGAACTGCAGATGCTGGAGAATCTGAGATAACAAGGTGTAGAGCTGGATGAACACAGCAGGCCAAGCAGCATCAGAGGAGCAAGAAGGCTGACGTTTCGAGCCTAGAACCTTCTTCAGAAATCCTCATTCGAGGTATCGATC